TTTTAAACTAGTTTATGACTTTAAATTAGTTTGGTGGATGTTAACAGCCTGAAACCGCACAAAAGGGTAGTAAATTTGAACAAGGGTTAATTGTTAAATGATCATTTTCATGTACATTTTAGCAGAAAAATCTTGGTAAATAAAACTTTATTTGAAAAGTCGATAAATACTCTTTAACCAATCGAAGCAAGCTCCTCCCCAGCCCTGAAATTCCCGTCAGACAATCCTCCCCAACCCAACCCGTGCTCTACACTTACTCGAATAGCTCACGAATGGATGAATGAAATGTCTTGAAAAGGGAACAAATGAAAGACAAAACGGAAATGACGTTAAAGGTTGAGTGTTCTGAATAAAACCTGGGCAAAAGTGTGTTCATCTTTTAAAATGGCTTGTTTTTCCTCTCAGCTAAACAGCATTATAAACAACAAACCCTCTTCAGAATGAATTAAATTTAAACATTCTCTAACCAAATGTATCATCTCAACCATTTTTCTGTGAGTGTCAAAATCTCTCCTGACAGTTTAATATCTTTTAGAAGTTGCTAAAGCTGTCAAAATCACTTAGCAGCAGAATGCAGAGCGTGGGACATAACTAGCAGCTGCCACTTTCTATCCGAGGCCGATATTGATCTGCAGAAGCCTCCAGTACAAATTGATTAGGTTGATAAGGAGGAGAATTGCAAATCGATGTTAAGGTCATGGAATTAGCTCTACATTAAGTGGACTGGAAAGGTGTTGGCTCAGGAAATTAATAGAAGAGGACGCCTTAAAGGGCATACAAACACATCCTCCCTTGATAACGCTCCATTTCACTTCTGAGACACACAAGGGCTGTTTTCAACTTTTCACTTTCAGTGGACTGAGCCTCGACGAGCCCACAGCTTCTTCCCAGTTAAGTGACTTCCTCCTCAAGTTAATCGGGATAAAGTCAAGCTTAAGGGACCATGATGGCAATGTGGTTTGTGGTCAAGGATCTCCCTTGTGCTTTTGAGTGAGCCTGATCCTGGCTGCTCACGTCTGAAAGGGAGTTGATTGCATGTGAAATTCTTTTTAGTTATATAATCAAAAGAAATTTAAGCAAAAAAAGAAGTATAAGCAAAGAAAAACACACTTGCTTTTCATTATGATGCATCTTAGATGCAGGACCTTAAAGTTGTATAAAATGAACTAAGAACCCTGCTTTCTTTGAGAGCACTTAAATGTTTAAAATGCTTAATTGCTCCGCAAAAGCCACTAATTCATTCTGGAGATGGCTAGAACCTCGTCTATGAGCACTCCTGATTATTCAACACACAAATTGTTTTTCTCCTAATGTTCTCTGATTTAAGATCAAAGTAAATGTAAATGAAATTAAAAAAAATTACAATTAAAAAAAGAGGAATTTATATAAATATTCAAATAAACTAATAAAAATATAATTGTGGTTCATTGTTGCCAAATGGGTCATGTGACAAGATATATAGTTAAATACTTTTAAAATTAAAACAGTTCTTTTTATACTGCTACTACTACTACTACTACTACTACTACCAATAATAATAATAATAATAATAATAATAATAATAATAATAATAATAATAATAATAATACTTCCGAATATCTAGCGGCATTACCTCTTAGTGACCAGTTCCCTATTTAGGATATGTATATAAAAAAAATAAAAAATAAACAAAAAAAGGATGTGTATTTAAGTGTGCATTGTCAACATTTTTTTTTTTTACAAATTAGCCAAATCAAATCATGTCAACCATTTCATAACGTGCCACGACCCCCTGGTGGCACCTAATTTTTTCTCTGTTATTGTTTTGATCAATATTCTTGTCAAATTTGGTAAAAAGAACCTTATCAACGTTAAATATTGTATTTTTATATTTTCTTTGCAACATCCCGTTTGTCTTAAGATAAACTGATGGAGTTCAGAGATGAACGGATAAAATCTCTAGGAGGAGTCAGTGAAAGTAGAACACGAACAAAAGCGACAGGAGTTTGCAAAATAAAATGACTTCCTTTTTTGTAAATGCAACGGATATCATTTAATTTTAAGTCTTGGTGCACTGCATGTGTGTCGAAATTCATTGGCGTGTGAAAAACTGCATGCATAAGCTGAAGTGTTAGGTGGCGCTAGAGAGCCATTTTTCAAAACTCACTTTTCAAATTCCAGATGTAAATTTCACCAGTTCTGACAAAATTTGGTGGCTTTTTGAACATATTTACACTAAAATAATGCACCAAAAGCCACAAAACAAAACTCTGTAGTATTTTTTTTAGGTGGTCGAGCCCTAATAATAAAATTTTTTTTGTGGCAGTGAATAAAATTTACAAATGCAGAATTTAGCAACAAGACAGTCAAATAGATTAACATAAGGCAGCCTTCCTGAACAGAAAGGTTTTGTTTTAACATCAATACTCGACTTGTCATATAAACGCAAGTTATGACCACAAGTGGTAAAAAATATGTATATCTCTGGCCTTAATGGGTTCCAGTTAGTGTGTGAAAGAACATTTGAAAAGTTTAGATGCAAATAAATCCAAGTTTCATCTAAAAATTTTCCAAAATGAGCCTCTCCCTTTCATATTAATTTTCAGGTTGAAGTGAAGGAAACCCATTCATCACAAAATGGAAATTACTGAAGCTACAGGAGGCTGGGAAGAATTTGCTTTTTAAAGAAAATTCCAGAAGCACCTAGAGGCTTTAGTATCTGCTCTCTTCATCCAGTAAGTGCTCTAAATAAGTAATGGAGAGCAACAAATAAATTAAAAGTAGTGCCCTTTATCGATCACTTGTTGTGGTATGAAACATCAAATTAGTAACTTTTGCATCTCGTTACTCACTACCACATATTCTAACATGAAGTTTGAAGGTCAAAGACAGACACTAAAAGATTAAACACCATATTGGTCCACAGGGGTGATTCCAGGATAAAGGAATGCAAATATGTCATAGACAGTAAACCCAAAAAGTTCACAGAACTAAAAAACCTGTGTAAACCAGTAACCTGACATTACAAAAAAAAAAAAAAAAAAAAAAAAATGAAAAGCATCTTTGAGACCCAGTGGTGTAGGGGATTGGGCGATTATGGTATACGTATTGACCATAGTCATGTCCCAGCCTCTTGTTCCCATACACTTCCTTTCTAATTTTCAAGAATAATTGCATAAAATGGCTCAAGACACCTGTTTACCAATGCTCTAACTCTGTTTACGTCTCAATGAATAGTCCACAATGGATCAGTTCTAGGTTCTAAGGAGAACCGTATATAGGTAGTAATAAATACCAATGGCAACAGAGGCTTAATGTTTTCCAACGGCGAGGTGCTTTCAATCTCCACATTGATATTCCCATAAAATAGAAAGTTTGGCCCATGTTTTTCCTCTGAGGTACCTGAATTGGTTTAAATATCCATTTACCTCTCCATCCATCATAGTGTCAATCAGCCCACTGACCATCAACGACTCTCTGTTCTAACGATATCCATCATCACTGGGCAATGCAAAATGTTAACTGGGGTTTAGAAATTCTCGATTTATAAAGGATGCTTTGTCTTAAAAAAAAGGAACAAATAAAAAAAGTTCATATTTTAGTATGATCATTATATTCGAAATATGCAAAACTGTTAACAGAACCTATACCAGGAGTGGGCAAAGTCATTCCTGGAGGGCTGCAGAGCCTGACGGTTATTATTCCAGCCCGGGTTCAGTACAAACATTGGCACATTTAAAAAAAAAATCAAGGAGAGTTTAATTAATTCAGTCACAAAAAAATAATAAAATAAATAAAATAAAAAAAAAAGTAAAAAAAAAAATTAGTTAAGTTAGTAAGTGCTCTTGAAAGAGTAGGGAAAAAAAACTCTTTTCTTTATCAGCTCAAACGTCTTCTACGTGTATGTCTTACAATTAATCCGACCTTGTAACAAACTGCTTATGTTTTTGTAAGTTGCTTTGGATAAAAGCATCTGCCAAATACATAAATAACGTAAATGTTTATGTAAATGTCAAAACTAACTATGAGTAGCATTTACGTTTACAAACTACTTTTCCTCTGTTTGGTGAAGTCACTTAAAAAAACTTGCACATTTAATACTATGAATGCAAAATAACAACGAATAATTCTTTAAACTTTAGGGGCCAAATTTGAAGTTAAAATGGCATAAAACTGCCAACAAAACTCTACATGATCAAAACACCCAAATCTCTTTATTTTTATTTCAAATACATGAAACACAAAGCAATTGTACAGTCCCTGTGTACATTATCATAAATCTTAATTTACCGCAAGGACCTAACTACAAATTTACAACCACTAAGGCACCGCAAAGCAGTTTACGAGGTCCCTGGTCACATTCTAATAATGTCATCTGTAAACACAGCAGAGAAGTGAGTAAGGGTTAATTTGCATAGTTAAATACAACACCCAAAAGCATTCTGATCACTTACTAGCCTGAACAAAGGCTTAAAAACTTAAGCCAGTATCATTTAAACTGCAGAATACCTTAATGGAAGATAAATGGATCACCCCCTTGAGCGCCATCATTTCATAGTCGGCATTTAGCGTCTGAGTGTGTATGTGTGTTCACTAATGTTGGATACTGATTTGATGATTTTCTATTGGTTTCCAAGGATTAAAATCTTATACTGTGCAGGCGTCTACATAGACTTGTTCATTTTGCAAAGGTTCCCAGTGCTCTAATTTCCCCTGACTTGAAGATATAAAAGAGGCAAAATGAAAATGAACCATTTAAATGACCTCACACGAGTCATTATTCAAAATAGAATAAACTTTTTTAAGGAAGGCAAATCAAAGAGCAGTAGATAATTAATTTATTTTCTTTAGAGGGTTCTGCTGGTGCGTTTTGGCAAAAGGTGGTGTCACGAGTCTATAGAAGGGGAATACCCTCACAATTAGAAGGAATTTAGAGTGTTCAATTGACCTGATGCATACTTCTAGAGTACTTAGAGGAAATCCACGCGAGCACAGGAAAAACATACAACTTCACCCAGATAAACCACCGGCTGGACTTGAACCAGCTACCAGCTTGCAGAGAGGATGCAGTGCTAACCACTGCGCCACCATGCCCTCCGGAATAATTCAGTTTGTTTATTAGAACATTACACATGAGCATCTCTTTGCAGGAAATCAAATCAAAATCTTCCCTTTTGTTCTTTAAGATAGAGTCGAACTGAAATCACATTCGTGTTCATTAAAGAACGTAGGGTTATACAAACAAATTCTTTCCACCTCCACACAGTAGATGGGATATTTTAGGTGTAATACAGCCTGACAATCAAGACAAGTTTAATCAAAGCATGTCACTAAAGAAAATCACCATTTGCATCATTATACAGCCCTCCATTTCCATGCAGATGCATTTAACGAGAAGGAAAAGGCAAACATGAAATCTAACAGCAGCAATCACATGAAATTGTATCGCCATTAGTTCTTACAAACGGAGGAATCCTAACTTGACTGCCTAATTTACATTTTAGTATTCAGACTCTTGGCTCAGAATAGATTCACCACATTTTGGAACCTATCACTTTCCAAGACCATTGCTTAAACTTTAGAAGTCCTAGGCCTTCTTGTGTGGTTTAAAAAAAAAATGCTTTTTGTCTATACAATAATCCCACAACAAACCTTAAATTGTCCAAGAATCAATTATGTTGACACAAAATTCCTAAATCCCCCATAAAGCAAAGACAAGGTCAAAACAATATAAAAATTGAAAGAAAAAAAAACGTTGCTAAACAGAGCACTTTTTGTTCCATTGTGCTCTTTTTATGGCAGAACTTGGAAAACACAAGCCAAGCAACAGGTATTGTACATCCAATGGTTATTCCTTGTTTTCACCACTATATGGCATTTATAAAACTGAAAGACGATGACACATTTTCTCCCATTTTAAGTTCAATTACCTTGCAATTTATTATAATTCTTGTAATGTTCATTCAAAACCAAAAACATCCAAACTATTAACCTTTTGAAACATATACATTGTATTTGAAATCCAAAATTAAATAATATGTGTGTTGCGTCATTCCTACTTAATACAAGACAGTCGCTGTGATTGGTCAACATTTGCAACAACCTGTGAGTTCAGTATATTGAACAAACTAGTCTTCCCTAATATTTCTCAAAAAACCCACATTCTTCCTTAGTAAAAAAATAAGAATGATCTTGTATAAATATTGTGATGCCTTTTTTGCATGGAAAATAAACTGGTTTTCAATGTGTACTTGGCAACACTCAGTATGTTTTTTTTTTTCTAACTGAATGTAAAAAGAAATAAAGTCTGACCAAGTATAGGTAAAGTGTTGTGAAGTTTGCTGGAGATACAGTGGATTCATTTCTATGTTGTGACAGCTGCAGCCACCAAATTTTTTGTAGAAAACTAAAACATTTCATCATCTTGCATCTCTTTTCGTCCTGAAACACACTCCTAAACAAAGCTGAAATCCCACATTTTGAGGAAGAAAAGGGAAAATGCCTTCTTCTGAGGAAAGGAGAATATGAAAGTCAAGGTCAAATGGAAGAAAGACAGTTCCCTGTTTATCTATGCTTGTATATTTACTGGTAAACTGTTTTACTGACAGCGAAGCTTTTATACAAAATTAAAAAAAAAAAAAATTTACCCCCCGAAAATGAATTAGAGCTGTTAAAATAATTAGCATTTTAATTGCACAAACATACATAAACATTATGGAAACCACGTTTGAAAAGTATTTCCCAAACAAACAGATTACAAAGGCTTCAGTATAAAGTAAAATTGAACTTAATCTATTCCCACAGGGAGACATTACACTTAGTTAAGCAGAAAATGTTTCAACTCACTTCAGTTCTTCAGTTCCATAATGTCTAGGTTACTTGCCTAACCCCCGTTCCCCGAGGGAGGGAACGGAAATGTATCACTTCAGTCGATTCTCCGACACATGTCTCAAAGAATGACTGAAAGGGAACTTTTCTTTTTTTAAAACTTTAGCTTTTTATTGATTTTATTTGAACAGAAAGGACAGTGGAGGGTGACAGGAAGTAAGGGAGAGAGAGAAAGGGCAAAGATGGGAAAGATGACGGGCTGGGGAATCAAAGTCGCATCTCCCTGCGCAACCGCACATATGTGTGCAGAACTACAGAACGTTTCTGACAAATTACCAGAAAAAATTATTATGAGAATTCTAGCTGTAAAAGCCCCGGCCACAAAGCTAATCAATATAAAACTCCATAGACTATGCTAAAAACATTAGCATGTGTTAAACGTGCAACAAAAATGTTTAAATAAACTCTTTATACATGTAACTTGGACTTATAGAGACATCAGATTAATGAGTGGTGTGTGACTGTGTGTAGTTTGTTTATATAAACAAGTTTCAGGAGGAAAAATCAGGGAATGCCTCTAGAGTTTCTAATAAACCCATGAAGCTCACATCACTACTTAAATCAGTCGTACCTCAATGACTTTGTCTGAGCTTCACCCCTCCCTCCAACTCCCCAGGGGGAGGGGATGCTAAGACTACATGAAAAGCTCTGGTGGTGAACTTGTGAAAGTTTTAGAAAGAGACATTGCTATGTTCTCTTGCTCACGTCACAGTATTTGAAGTCACAAGTTCGAAGTTCATTACGCAGAAAGAAGTATTTAAGCAAATGTAATTTTTGAGATTTTTCATTTTTTTTTCAACAAAGATTTATACAATGAAACAATATAATTTTATGTTATTGATATCAGAATGTTTTTTTTTGTTTGTTTTTTTTCTGATGGGTCCATGATATGATTAAACCCATATAGCCTCACATTGGTTATTTTAATAATGTATGTGGTGAAAAAAAAGTTTTTTTTGTATTTCCCTGCTACTTAATCTGTATTGCAGCATAACCACTGCGCTGACCATCTTGATAACGGCAGTAAAACAAAGCTAAAAAAAAAGCATGTTGCTGCCGAAACACATTATGCATTGAACAGGAAGTGAAGTCCAGGAAACACTAGGAGGTCACCAGCACAGACAAGCGTTCTCAACGATAGCCTGGTTTAGAGGCTTATTAGTGAGTGTAATGAGCAGAGTTGGTTTCGAACACGCTCTCTATGTAGTTAGCACAAGGGAAATATAAAAAGGTTAACAAGATGACACAGCGAGAGAAGAAAGGGTTTTCTTTCTGTACTCCTTGAGAAATGGCAAGAAATGAAAGGAAAAAGCTGCTTGAGTCTTACAGTCTGTGTGCCAAGGAATGGAGCGTGTGGATATAGTTGAGAAACCCACAGTGCGTGGTGATGTGCGCGCAGCTCCTAAGGCTTGTTATTCTATATGCGTGCAGTTTAAAGCAGGAAACAAAAAAATAAGCCACTATTCTCTTAAGGGGGTTAGTTCCAGCTTGTTGTTTTGCCTTGCTAATGCTTTTAGGAAAGCAAGCTCTTTGCTAACACTGAAGATTTCCAATACACTGAACTTCAATCAGAAAACATACTGTAGAACAACCCAACGATATGTTTTTTTTTTAAGCCCACATCATAATAATACAGGTTTTTTAGAGCAGAAACCACCAGACACACTTAGTAACTACAAAGAAATGCTTTTCTTTCCAAAATATATATTTGCTGAACCAGTTTCATGAAGGCAGATACAAATCTTGCTTCAATATGCAATGGAGAGATATATTCAACAAATACAAAGAGGAATTAAAGTAGAGTTGCAAGGGTTATCAGAAGAGGTAAAAGCCTTTTTTTGTAAAGCACAGTGTAACATTAATTGAAGTAGTTTTGCTACAGTTTTATGAATTTAATGTAACAAAAAAATCAGAATAAGTAATTTAATGATTCTGCTAGCATCACTGTTAGCGTTTTTATGGAAACAATTAAAAGTTTGGATCTCCCGGATATTAAATTCACCAGGCAAGCCACTAAAAGCAGACAAAAAACTCTGTTTTGTTGTCGTTTTTGAAAAAAAAAATAGAAATGGAATGTTTAATTAAACTGGCTGCACACCTTTAGCCTTATTATTGGTTATTTCCGCTGCTTATTATGGAACATATCAGCTTCATAATGTTTATTTTCCATTTGAACCTCTCTTTTCTGGTAAAGTAACTTTAACAAATTAATTAAAGGTCCTCATTTTAATTGTACCTATGCACAGATGGTGTTTATATTTAACTTTGTCAGAAGGAGGGATGTTAAAGCATTGTAGCATTGCAAATAAATCAGCTAAAATAACGTGTTCACAATTTTTAAGATTAGTGAATTAATTATGTATACATTCTAAAAACAAACCAAACTGTTGGGTTGAACATGTTCAGTCATTTTGGTTTTTTATTTTTATTTTTGGGCATTTTGGGCATCTCTTGGTTTCAATCTGCAGTTTAAGTACATTTCAATTTACCCAATGCTACGTTGATTTATACGACCCGGTGCTTGGTTACAAAAACAACACAAAATGAGTCATTTTCCCCCAGCGTACAGACAAAATTTGTTCAGAAATGTTCCACAGCAGCACTAAACAACCTACAACACCAGTTCTTCATGCTCCTCATCAGATTAAGTAAGAAAAATCTTACATTCCAGGAAAGTAGTGCAGATTTGGACAGAATGTTCACGTTAGCATGCTTGAATGAAACCTGTTTATATAAACCTCTTGATCATTTTTATTGAAACAGGGCTAAAAGAAAACTCAGCTCAGCTTATGGGCATCCAAACATAAGAGCAGGTCTGTTTAAAACGGTATGTTCACCTAGTGGCTTGTAAAGCAATGAAAGTAATCTGCACATGTTCCAATAGAGTGGCATTTACATTCATAGACTCAGTCCAAGTTAGAAAAAAAAAGAATGATGCTAAAAGCACGCTCATCGCCATAGACTGTTATCGAGACAGAGCAATCACGAGGCACAGATGGGGACACCTATGCATATTCATTGCATTTACCAATCAGACGTTGTGCACAGCTGTTTTTCCAAAAGCGGCTTCATTAAAGCAGAAGGGAGACACTATAATCCTCCTCCTGCATTATCTAACAGCTCGACGTAACTCGAGGCAGAGCCGCAGACGAGATAAGTAACAGTGTTTGTTTCTTCCAATTCTGAACGCAATCCTTACTTTGCAA